TAAGGTGAGCTTTCTCATTCATTAATAAAACAATCCCCCGGCGCGCGCAGCGCCGGGGGAACCCCCCCGGGGTAGATTTAAAATGAAATATGCACGTTTTTGAGTCAAAATAATTATCAAAATGGGGTATAATAATCGAAATTAAATCTGATACAGATTGAACAGAAGAAATAGCATATTCTCTACCCTTACGTGTTATAGTAGTAATATAACCAACCCTAAAAAATGATTTAATTTTTTCTAACACATCTATATCTCTAATATGTAGTTCAATTAACTCTAAACAGGAATTATTCTAATACCCAATAACCTAGATTTATCTTTAGAAACTCCCCCCTCCCCCTTAATTAAAAATTAATTTTTTTATTAAAAAAATACGCGCTTCGCGCGGGCGGAAACTCTAATAGAAAAAGTAGATTCAGCATCAGAAAACCCTGTTATCCATCACGGGTCTGACCCTAAGTTTTTTGAGGAATAAAGTCTTTTAAATATAAGGGGCTCCAAAAAGAACCCTGTACCAAAATAGAAACATGATCCAAATACACTATCTGAAATAGTGAAGGATGAAACAGTATATTCTACACCTTGGAAAAATGTAAAAAATACTGCTAAAATTACTGTAAATATAGTTCCATATAATGCACCTTTTCTATTACCTTCTATTAAGCTATGGTGAGCTCATGTTATTGATACACCTGATGATAATAAAAGTATTGTATTTAATAAAGGTAATTCGAACAATAAATTAGCTTAATTTATATAACATTGAAGAATGAAAATGAGGAGGAAGTAACTCTATAACTTTTTAGGTGTGGTGACATTGAGAGAAATTGATTCGAAGGCAACTGCGAGGTCGGGATCCGGCGAGGAATTTAACGAGGCAACTCGGGCATCGTTCACGAAAGAAGCATAGCAGTCAGTAGAAGGCTTCTGTGAATTTTGCAGCCGGCGGGACAGGATATCTGCGATCTTGTTTTGAGAGCCTGGCCTGTAGAGCAAACAGAAAGTGAATTGGGACAAGAACTATGCCCATCTTACCTGTCTCCCCGTCAGGCTTCTCTTTGCCTTCACAAAGGTTGTGAGGTCTTTATAGTCGGAGTAGACAGTGGATAGTTTTTGGAGTTCAGCCAATTCAGATCCCCATGCTTCAAATGCCCTTATAATGGACAGATGTTTTTTTTTTTTTTTTTCATATATCCAATAATTGTATACTGCTGGATTAAGCTCCCGACTGTAAAATGCCACGGGTCTGAAGGTACCTGCCTCCTCATCAAATTGAGAGTCTATCCGGCTACTGCAAAGTCAGATGCGTCGGTCTTGAACACTGTTTGTAAAACGACGGAAGGTGTGACAGTTCTTAGTTTACAGGGCAAAAAACTGCACCATCTTTGGCCATTATAATTCTTAGGAGCTCAAAGGTTTTGGAGCATCTGCAGTGGCCAGCAAGAGATGACACTTGGTATTGACGAAGCAGGGTTGCACATAGTCCATTGTCACCCAGAATCCAAAAACGATCATCATAATAGAGAAGGCTTTCCTTCTCATGGCATAGAGACAAGGTAACAGTCGGCTGCTGCTAAGTATTTATTTTCAGTGCAGTCAAAACAGCGGTAACAGGAGAATCTGAGGCATAAAGATTTTTGACACAGTCTATGAGGCCTTCTTCCTCATTGTGAGAATTAAGATCATTTACTTCAGGAAGGGTCAGAGTCGGAGCAAATGACAACAAATAATTACATAGTGTCCGGAGGATTGATCTTGGCACTTGAGATTGACTAGACAAGGACTTTGCAGGGGACACATACTGAACATATTCAATTCCCTGATGACCAGGATATTGTTCAGCGGTTTCCATTTTCCAGGATACAGGTATTTACAGGGCTTGTCTTTGGCAGACGAGGAACTGATGCAGGGATCTAGAGTCACTGGCGAGATGCTGTGACTAGGCAGGGTAAACTGAGCAGGGAAGCCTTTGAGATTACCAGCCTTCAAGATCACCTGGCTCTGGTGTAGAGTCGCTACAGTAATAGACTGGTGAGAGATCTTAGTCAGAGATTACTTATGGTCACATGACCTCGCTTACCCAATAAGTCCACGGTCAGGGCTTCTTCCGAGCCCAGTGCACCTAGACTTCTTTACTTCCGCCAAGCTAGTATTTTATAGCTATACAGCCCTCACACTATACTAGCTTCTCTTTTTAGTTGAGAGGAGATGTGCAATCAAGACTGTCCCTATTGCTACAATCGCTACAATCATCAGACACGCTTTTCAAATTTTGCTAGAGATACAGGCTTCCTATTACCCACCTCGCTGCCACTGTCTGTTGGTGGTTGCACCACCTGTTCTCGTTTTTTTCCCATCGTTTCCTTGTTTGAGACGCTGTGAAAGGAATCTCAGTAAGATCCTTCAACTCCTGTTTAGCCTGCCAGCATGTTTGCGGCAGTGTCATGACCCTGGGACGGGCACTGTTGGTCTTGATCTCCCCTCGTTGTAACAGGATTACTGACGCGTTTGACGCGACTTGCCCAGACTAGGAATCCTGTCTGATCCATAGCCATGCCTCCAAAGAAAGATGTTGAGGGAGGAGTCGAGGCCTCCACCTCGAAGGCAGGAGCAGGGGCTCGTAGGAACACTCGGAGCAAGGTGAATGAGGACGGCCGATCTACCAATCGTCAGGACGTTCAGCAGCAGGACAAGCCGCAGTCCTCTAAGGGTGAACACGAAGGCAAAGGCTGTGCTCCCGAGGAGGAGGAGGAGGAAGAGACTGAAGCACGATCCGAGCACGGTAAAGAGGATGACCCTCGAGACGATGACAGTGATGCCGGCAGTGTCCACTCATTGGACAGTGCTGAGATAGTAACTCTGTCTAAGGCTGAGCTACTTAAGTGTCTGGGGCGATACCGTCAGAACAGCCGCACTGCAGAACAGGCAGTGGGGCTGAAAGCGACCCGTCAGATGCAGAAGACATCGACGAAGTCATCAGGTCAGAATTAGAATGCATTGGGACATGGCTGGTCTCCTCACGGCTTTCCATAGGCCGGGGCGAGTACTCACAGCCGACTACAATTATTAGCCAGAGGAGATCGCCCAATGGCTCACAACTTTTGTTCGTCCCACAAAAATGAATCGACAAAAATTCGGTGCATTTAAGAAGAAGGATCTCAAGTTCTTGGTTGACAAAGGACATCTTTTCTGCAACGGTCGCGTTAATGAAGCTCCCAAACGTGTTGTTGATGATCCCCACCAGCTCGGAGAGATTGTGTGCTACGCATTCCGCGGAGGGGGACATGTTTTTGCCGAAACCTCCGCGGAGTAAGGAGTTGGCCAGGGCCAGGGAACCCCCTGGGTACCCCCTGCAGCCGAACACCCCTGCGAGTTGGTGAGAGGAGCCCGTAGTCGACGGCATGATGTTCTTTACCCTATTTCCTTTATATATAAGGCAGTTCTAGTCCACTCGCAGTTACTTACACAAGAACAATCATACATTCTTTACTAACTACCACTATGACCAGACATACTACTTTCTGAGGCTCAATGCTAACTAGGACTACTAATCACTGACATACTGACCGTATTCGCAGTCTTTATGTACCATACTATATCGTCAGATGACACCCATCGCCTTGCTAAGGCAGTATTGACAAAGATCCAGATCCTGTTCCTCTGGGAACCCACCATATCAGCTCAGAGACATACTAAGATCTCACCCCCTATTTGTTGAGCGCCCAAGAGCTGAGGCCCGTGTGGGTGATCGCCTATACGTTTGATTAACAACTGACATTCATTCATTTCACTTGCAAGTCCGACATACTGATCCCTCTTTAAAGAGAAGCACCCTGAGCATGGTGTAAAAAAATTAATATTGCTACAAGGAGAAGGAATGGCGACATCAATACCGCCATGTTTCAACTCCTCTCGAGCGCTAGAAACCCAAGGCAACGTGGCATTGATAACGTACTAAGAAAGCTAATCATAATCGTACAGCGCCAGCAAAGCTAAAAGAACACCAACGCGATTGCCACATCTTCACGTCTTCTTCGTGCCTTTCTTATCGCCCTTCGCCTTAGGAGCTTTAGGGCCCTTCTCGGCTTTCTTTCCCTTACCGGCCTTCCCCTTCTTCTCGGACGCCTTCACCTCCTAAGTGGCTTGCTCCTCTTCGTCCCCGGACCCGCTAGCTCGCCTAGGCGAAACGACACGAGGCGCCTCATCGCTCACGAGGTACTTCATCAACGTCTTGAAGCCAAGGCTTCCGGAATCACGCAGCAGCTCCTGGGCCGGGGTGCAACGGGCGACATATCGACGCATCAGTCTGAAATCGTTGCCTGGGATTCCACGACCACAAATCGCACTCGCCAGCAGTTCCTGACACATGTGGTGCCTAAATGAGGGGATATCACCTTGAGAATAGGACAGGGGGTCCGTACCCGCCAGGTCGTAGCCCAGAGCCAGGAGACGCACTGAAGCACAAACGAAGACGCCACAGTCACACCGGTTCTCCTGTTCAGAAAACCTAACCTTCAATCGGGTCCAATGAACGTCATCGGTGACACTCACTGAGGCCCACCAAGACAGGATCAGAGGCACGACGTCAAGGCCGTTATCTTGCGAGGACCGATCCAGCTTGTACAGCGGGTCCAGGTAAAGGTACTGCTTGGACTCTGGAAAGAAGACAGCCAGGGCCCAGTGCTCCACATAATGAATGGTTGCGGGGATGAGGCGGCTAATGGTGATGCTCTGGATGATCCCATTATGGCCCGGCATCTGCTTGACCTCCTCAATACCATCTTCAAGCCAAAGGTACTCCGTCAGCTGAGGATCAAAATAGTAAACAGAGTTTGGACCAAAGAGGCGGTCAGCCTCGCGGCAAAGAAGGTGACCATAGGCGGAGATGATCACGTTATTGAACCACCCATATGTATGAAGTAGAGGTTGATTATTCAATACGTAAACAGGTGCCTATGCCCTGTATATCATGGGAGGAAAGGAAGGGAGGCTTTCTTTGAGGGGAGCAGGATTCAAACCCACTGCCAGCAGTGGTGCAGTTCAACTGGCCAGCCAGGAGAGCGCTCTTACCACTGCGCCATCCTCCCATTACCACCTTCATTACCACCTTTTTGCCAATCTATTGCGCCAAATTATGGCGGAGCTCATCGCATAGGGTTACTGGAGCACTGTGCAGCTCTTTCAGTTCAAGCAAATGCAAATATCCACCGAAATAGTATTTGGAGTCATCATTGAGGAATGGGGCTTGCACAACGCCACCCCTTGTGCCATATAAACTGAACAGCCTGGGGCAGGGCAAAAAATCTACAAGTTCTTTGTTAGGCCGCAGTTGTATGAGGATAGATGCCGCAACTTCGCAAGAATGCTGCGAGAAACATTGATGTTAATATTGCTTGAGCTGGAAGCCCTTATGGTGTTTATGCCACTTGTCTTCAAGATCGTCTTTTACTACATGAACACTTGCTGGTATTCCTGTTCATTGTGACACAGGGCAGCTTCATGAGGATGGCCACTGAGTATTCTTAACACTCATATGACACCATATATATCAGCTTCCATCGAATAATAATAGCTTGTTGCAGCTGTATACGAGACACATTGCTCCTTCTACAACTATGCACCAAACCAATGGTTTTCTCGGAGAGGGCAGGCATCTCTGGTCTTTCTTCAAGAATTGTATTGGTACAATTGATGACACTCACATCCCATTAATTAGCCAGATGGGGGAACAATGACGAAATTAAAAGGCTCGGTATAGTCAGAACATACTGGCCTGGTGTGACTGGCACGGTAACTTCACGTACACCTAAGCAGGCATGGAAGACTCTGCACACAATACGAAAGTTATGACGGAAGCAGACTTGAGAGACGGCTTCACACACCAATTTCCCGAGATGGCATATCTGCTGGGGGATGCAGGCCCGTTGTGAGGTACTTTCTGGTAAGACACCTCACCACTTGTTTCCCATTGCATGTTTGCAGTCCCTTGACACCACTAGAAAGGTAACTCTCGCATGGCCCTCAGAGCAGAGCCCGTTCTTACGGAATTACATCATCCCTGCACGTGATGCGCACTGCTTAACATTAAAGCCTGCACGAGGCGTGCTGGAGCACGGATAAACCGCCTAGTGGTACCGACAGTAAACAGACGAGGTGATTAGTTAGTCAGTAAGCAGCTGCTTGCAAGCCGCATGGAGCGTGGTTTATATACTACCACTACTCCCACGACTTATAGAGAGGGAATAGAAAGAACAAGAGGGAATATATACAGAAGCATATTTTTATTTTTATCGCTATGTCACCGGTATAACATTGCTAAATAAATCGATAAGTGAGGTAAATCCATCTCCTGATGATTCGTTGCCTGGATGAATCTTGTCAGCTTTTCGTTTGTAGGTGGTGGCAATCAACAGCTTAACGAACTTCTTCTTTAATGGCTTGGGCAACTCATCGTCATCACTCTCGTCGTCGAAATCGAACTTTTCACAATCACCTTTCATCCTGCATTCTTCCTCCATAGTTGGAGCCCACCACGAGAGACCACGTTCTCGAGGGAGAGATGACTTTGACAACCATTGTTCCACCTCTTTTATCTTGTGAGCCTTCTTGTCGGCTCTCTCAGCTCTCGACAAACCATCTTTTCCGTCATAAATACTTCCCTTCCACCACGTAGTGCCACTGTTGGTTGACACCACATCTGGGAATCCCCCGAATTCTGGGGGATTAGGTCGGGCGACCAATCCGATTGTTCTGACCTTCACGTAGATACCCCCTACGCTCGGCGCAGCCCAAAGGGGGTCGATTGAACTGCCTGATCATTTTTTGTGTCCAGCCAGATGTCCTCTTCAGTCTTGCGGTTCTCATCGACGGCCGGTACATACCCTTCGAAGGTAATACGGCGAGACCGCTTGTTACAGGTTTGCTTCTGTAGATATACTCAGATAGCTCTTAGTAACCAAAAGTATGCTTAAATATAAGCAGTGACTAGGTGTTATAGTGTTTACCTCACTAGTGATTTTATAAGCAATGTTATACCAGGCTCATAGCGGTTTTATAGATATATATCTTATTGTATTGTTTTTGTTGTCTGTCTGTCCCTCACTACGAGTTGTGGGAGTAGTGGCTATATATACTAGCCACGCTCCTGACAGCTCGCTACCTACTGCTTACTAACTAACTAC